CAATTTATTGATTTATTTATTTCAGACATGTCACAAAACAATGAAGGCAAAAAACTATAAATGAGACACAAAAGAAAAGAAACCCAAAACCATAAAATGGTGTCTGAATTATCTAGTTGTTTATCTAGTATAAGCCGTATATAATAAATAAACAAACTGCGTCTTCTCTCCCCAGACTCCCAGCTGTCAGGCGACCTGTGCGCCCAGGATGGAACCCTGGTCACCACGACGACGATAGGAACCGGGACGGGCGTGGCGGCTCTCCACGTGGTCCAGGCCCGTCCCCTCTGGCCCACCGGTCCGGCGCTTACGGCCCGCTTGCGGCGCCTGATCACCGCCTACCAGCGCTTCACGCTGCGCCGGGAGCCGCTGCTCAGGCACGAGTTCCTGCTCCACGACGGCCTCGTCGGGATGGGCATCGGAGGGGCCGGGGCCGCCCACGGCCACCACGCCGGCGGACCGCTGGCCTGGCAGCTGGGCGAAGAGCTGAGGAGGTGTTCTGTGGTCGCCACCGAACCGGACCCGCTGTTTCTGGAGTGGCAGAGAAGGTAACAAGTAGAGGACAACACTACACTGGAAATTTCACTTCTGATGCCAAGCTTTGAGATTTAGTTTTGGTCTTACGTTTGTGGTTCTCTGATCTTTGATTTCTGAACGTTGTGGCTTAAAACCATCAAAGTACCTGCAAAATTTAAAGGCTAAGAGAAATATGCATGCAGGTCGCAGTGCAAAAGTGTAAAATACATCCTGAAGTTGTAATTCTGAAATTAATGCATCTTCCTTTTGCATGAAAATGTTTAAAATCTGTGCAAGTTTCATGACTTCACAATTTTATGGTTATGACAATAACGAGTCAGCAAAGTCTGAACAGAACTTTAACATTTATCCTCTTTAACTTCAACTTATAAAAGTGCAACATGAAGTTCTTGGAAAATCTTTGCTCTAGATTTAAATACCTTGGAGTTTATTATAAGATGCCTAGAGGCTACTCATTGCACATAGCAGAAGTAAAAGTCCAGACATTTTAAGTACTATAAATTTAGATAAAGTGACATTTCTTTGTCTATAAAAGTCACTAGATGTTAAAAATCCATTTTATATTGCATTGTGTGGTTGTTAAGTTGTTAATCTATAAAGGTGTTTGCTTCCTAAAGCCCAGAAATTTTGGAAAATGTTACTGAACATCTACGTTTCAAGTCTTAAACTAAAGCTTCCAGGTGAACCATTCAAAAAAGCTGCTGCCTCTCAGTCCACCAGTTTTATTTACTTTCTCGAGCTGCTAACTTTAAAATGCCTGAACCTGGCTGCAAGAGTGAACACAAGAGTCTTCATGCACTCCCAGCATCTGAGGAACTGAGCACTCAGTGGATTACTTTTATTCCCGGTGGCTCTGTGGAACTGTAAAGCTGAGAAATGGTGGAAACTTCAATCTCAAACAATAAACAACGACCAGGTGGGTTACTGTGGGCTTTTTTTTCTCCCCGTCTTGTTTCAGGTGGACTCGTCGAGAACAGGCCGACTTTTACCGCACGGTGTCGTCGTTCGGGGTGGTGTACGACCCCGAGAGGAAGACGTTCGACTGGTCCCAGTTCAGAGCGCTGGCCCGGCTGGAGAGGAAGACGGACGAGAGCTTGGAGAGATACTTCAACTCCTTCGTCAACATGTGCAGGACGGCCTGTAAGCTTCCTCCGAGGAAGGAAGAAGGTTGGTAAACTGATCTAAACGCGTCTGACAGATATCACACGGAGGCACCTTGACAGTTGAATTTACACGGATTCGAGGTCATTTTTAATATGAATATTGTCGTTCGACTGTCCTTTTAGTAATAAAGTTTGCTGCAGACCTCCTATTTGGGAGCATTACTAATCACTGCTGATGGGAGGATTGATTTTTCTCTTCATTAACAGCTAATTTTGGTTTAAGAAATATAAATTTACGTCCACACTCACTTAATGAGACGTATTATAACTCGTCAGAAGTGCAAATTAACGTAAGCTGTGTTCAAGTACCCTTAAAAACTTGTTTTATTAACGGCTTGACACACTTCTTGCTTCTTCTTCTCTTCCCCCTTCCATCGTTTCTGCATCGCTCACGCTTTCCTCACGACCTCCTCACGGATGTCGACCGGCCTTTTCTTTCCCCTTCGCTTCCCTCCACCTCTCGCTTCTTCCAGGCCTGGTGGATCCCGCTGTGCTGGTGGAGCCTCTGACAGAAGAGCGAGCCGCCAGGACGCTGTATCGCATCGAGCTGCTGCGCAAGATCAGAGAGCAGGTGGGCCCTTTGAACAGACAAAGCCTCGTCACCGACAGCAGAGTTTCCGCTGTCGCAGCTCAAACTTTACGGCTTGACTTCAAAGTCCGTCTCTTAACGCGACGGCTGCTCGCGTAGGCTCGGAGTTATTTCGGTGATTGATTGATGCTAAAATGAACCTCGCTCGTCTCTGTTGACTCCTCATCTGTTGCGTTTTGCGTCAAAGATAGCTCGCTTTAAAGTCTAAAGATACGCTTCCATACACCTGTCGAGAAACCGTTTTTTGTTTTTTTTTAAACAACCTACATATGTTTTGTTTCCTGACTTAAAAATTAGACATTTTCCGTCATCAAAAGAAATCTTGCTTACGACGTGAATTCAAACCGAAGCCTGACTTTTCAGGCCTCACAAACTTTAAAACACTCAAAGGATTGGAACCATCTTCAAAACGTACTTGTGCTAAAAGTTATTTATTTTACGTTTAAGTGTCTGCAGGTGTTACCAATATTAGAAAAAAATGGTCACTCCACATCCTGGAGAGATTTCACTACTTATATTAGTTTGTTTTTTTTAGTTTCCGGACTTGTTTTCTATCTAATCTGTGCAAACGCTGCAATTCAGCCAAAAAGTCCCTAAATTTTAGTCGCGTGACTTAACTCACTAATGGTTTCACAGTTGTGCCAAGAAGTCTTGAATTTTTTGGTTTTTTAAGGAATTTTATTAGTGCAAATGATTAATTTTGGGGGAATTTTTAAATGAGGCTTGTAGTAAAATGACTTTTTGGATGAAACGTCACCATTTTACGCTTAAATCTGCTTTTATTTTGTGACAGAAACGACACACAAGTTCAAGGACCTTCAAAAAATCCAACATTTATTGCTGTTTTTTGCCACTTTTTTAAAAATAGCATGATTTAAATGAAGTTTCCAGACTGTCGCATCACAAATGCTTAGTTAAAAGACCTTTGGAAGGTTTAAATTGTGATGATTTTGTGTGTTTTTACAGATTCTGTCTCTGGTAAACGGTGATATATTGACGATTTTTATTTACTTGCTCTTGTTTATTTAAGATTGTGGCGTTCAGAGGGTCATAACTTTCCAGGAACTTGCGTTTTTACTAACTTTTATGTGAAATTACAGCATTTCTTAGTAGCCTTACGTCTCAAAGACATTCATGCCATAACTTTGTAGCTGTAACGGCATGTAAAGGGAATAAACATTAAAATAATAATCATTTCCAGGGTTTAAAGGGTAAAACCGTCTGAACTGTGTCCCTCCCTCAGGTCCTCCGTCACCCGTTGCTGTCGGCCCGCCTCCAGCTGTGCCGTCCTTCCCTCTACCTCCCCGTCTGGTGGGAGTCCGGCAAGCACGACCGCGACCTCCTGATCGGGGCCGCGCGCCACGGCTTGAGCCGCACCGACTTCTACATCCTGAACGACCCCCAGCTGAGCTTCCTGGAGGCTCACAGGAACTACGTCAGAGGACACCCCGCCCACCTTCACCCCCACCACCCGCACCACCCGGGCCTGGCCACTCACGCCGGCATCTCGTCCTCGTCCTCCTCGTCGGCGCACCCGCAGCTTCCTCACCCCCACTGCTGTCTGTACGACGCCGGACTCGGCCACCACTCCCCCCAGCCTCCCGAGTATCCCCACCAGTCCTCCCACCACCACCACCATCACCACCACCAGCAGCACCCAGTGCCTCCGTCTGCTCCCTCTCCTTCCTCCTCGTCCTCCTCCGCTCACCCTCACCTTCACCCTCCGCCGCTGGACGCTCACGATTCGGCCTCTCCGAGTCTGGGAATAGTTGCCGGATCGCGGGGGGACTTCCTGGACTGTCCTCCTCTGGATGAAACCCTGGAGCTGGGAGCGCTGCAGCACGACGCCATGTCCGCGGACGCTTTGCACGGAGGAAAGGCGTCCAAAGATGCCCTCAACGGTTTCCCCTTTAACTCGGCGGCGGGAGGTCAGAGCATGCTGAACTCGTACGGCGTCGGTGGAACAGACCTGGACTCTAAACTGAGGAGCGACGTTCTCGTCGGAGAGCAGGGCTCATCGGAGGAAACCGGGCTGATGGCGCCGTCGGTGGAGCTGGATCAGCTACAGGTAAAGCACTGTTCCTATCTTGCTGTACGAAATGCACCTTGATTCAATGTGAGATGTTTGTTTTAACTACAAGTATCATTATATCTCATCAGATTTCAATCTTGATACTCTTTATGGTTGTTCTGTTGTTTTAGTAGAACATAGAATTTTGACAGCCGGATGTTTTGACACAAGCACAACAAGCACTTTCTGACATGTTTATTTAGTTATCAAAATTGTCGCCAAATAATATTAATGATGAATGAATTGGAGACTAACATGAGGGTTAATCAGAAAGTTCTGAGACTCTACATGTAAAAAAAAAAACAAAAAAAACCATACCTGATCTAATTTACTTTCTAAGTATTCTCCTTGTGCAGTGACACTCTGCTCCCTCTGCTCCTGCAACTCCTGTAACCCTCCCTGAACATCCTGTTATGTACACGTGTCAAGCAGCATCATTGTTGGGCACCAACTCTCTCAAACTGTGCAAAACGACAACCCTTCAAGTATAATTTCATTTAGGGGACGAGGAAAAGGCTGCAAGAGGATTTTGTTGTTGTGGTCCAAAAAAACCCTATGCTTGACTGGGTGCACCCGTGTACCATCAAAGTCCAGGTTGTTTGCGCCAAATGTTATTCGTCAGACACCTCACGACGTTATTGTAGAGCTTTTACTTGACAGTCCAAAATAAATTCCAGGTGCACAACCACATAAATGTTGTAGAAAATAATGAGCGTGCTTCCAGTGCACTCTGGGAAATTGTGGCTCCTCCATGTTGAAAACTGTTGTTTCTTCTGTTGATGGTAGCCGCAAACCCACCAGTGATGATCCTCCACATGAAGGTTGGATCATCAAGTTGAGGTTCATGGTGAAAATGCAAATATGCACCGACTAGTGGTCGTAAAAAAAAAACACGTATAACACAGTTGTTGATGTTAGTACCGTGTTGCTCCACTACATCTCGAATAGGGAGGATAGACTGATTAGCTGCTTGGCCGATTATCTTGAGCGTTTTTTCCCATTATCTGTATTTTTATCGGCTGAACTGAACTGAAACTAGAACCAGAAGCTGTTGCCACAATCCAGGAAATTAGCTTCTCTCACAGCGGTTACAGCTATGCTAAAGGCTAACAGCTAAGCTAGCAGGCAGCCACAGATTTCCCTGAAACAGAGTCTGGAAAACAATAATTAAAAAAGCTGAAGTAAAAACGATACAACAGTGAACGATTGAGAAAATAGAGACGAGACAAACTGATCAATCCCAGTCGATCCCACATAAACAGAGGAGGTAATTTGATCCGTCCTGTTTCTGTTTTACATACATGTTCACTTATGGCCACCCTTATCGATCAAAAAGCTTAGTTGTGAATGACAGGTTCTCCGCTGTCACGTGCTGTTAAGACGTTCCGGTTTACGGCCTTTCTTGATTTACAAAAAATTGGAATCGTCCCCAGAAATAAAACAAAAACCCACATCCCTGATCCTGGCTAATGACAATCACTGATGCTGCACATGTTCCACAGCTCTGGAGCTTTTTGATCAACCCTCGTAGTTTCAGCTTTTCAAGTTTTTTCCACCAGGGTTTTCTTCTTCTTCCTTTGATTCCACATCTTTCCCTCATTGACCACTTTCTCAACATCTGTCCACATGTTTTCTTCGTCCTCGTCGTCGCTCCCTTCAGGCCCCCTGGGACAGCACCGACCACACCAGCCCCGCTCACCACATGTTCAACGAGTCCGACCCCATCCTGGGTCCGTCCACGCTGGAGACGGGCTTCCTGGAGGAGGAGGACGAGGAGGCGCAGGGGGGAGACAGGGGAGGGGAGGAAGGTGGGACTCTGGAGGAGTGTCTGGGCCTCCCGCCCTCGACCTCCCCCTCCCATCCCTCGGCCGGAGATGCCGTCGAGCCGCTGTCCTCCAGTTACATCCTCTTTAAGGTTGGTTTCTGTGGCGTTGGCGGCTCAGCGAGTGGAAGTAATTCCCAAATCTTTTGTCATCACAGCCCCTCAGGTGACAATAATCTGAAGCCCATTTGTGTTTTAATGGTTTCATTGAGGCAGAGAGGAGACAAAACGCGGCTCTAAAAATCATTATAACGATATTACATTACAAGAAAAACGTGAAGCTCTTTTCAGACGTTGCTGGTTTTAGTGGTGAGATGCTGTCATGCAGTCACTTGTACATTAATGTCCTTTACTGCTTTATTCAGACAAACCCACAATAACAATGTAAAGAGCCGCTGCACCTGCGCAATATTTGTCAAGATCAGACTGTGACATATAATGCACTAAAAAAAACAAGACACTTAATCTAAATCAACTTCGGTTCATTGCTTCTCAAATCAGCAGTTTTTAAAAGCAATTTCTGCTCAACTGTCTCTGATTTGCCACATTAAATAAGGACATTTAAAAAGAGATTTGTGAAATTTCAGCTCGATAGATCAAATACTTTCAGAGGGAGTTTAAACGACGTCTTGCCAGTTGCCTTTGAAATTTACGATATCAGAAACCTTAATAGCGGATATCGGTGTCGGCCAGAAATTTTAATATCGTGCTTAAAAAATGACCGTCCTTTTTCAATTAGCTCATACTACAGCGCTTAGTTTTAGATGTGTTAGATGTGTGTGTGTGCATAAAACACCCACTTCAGCTGTTTGCGCGTCATAATATTCCAAGAGAATAACTCAGCAGTTCTTAATCGCTTAGCTTTTTTTTTTCTTTTTTACATTTTTAAATTTCAACCAGTTAATGCACCAAAGAGCTGCTGTTCTCTCGGGGCTGCTGGAGCAACAGTGGATGTTTTCAATTTTTAATGACGAATGAATGAAAACACTGGCGCTTTTTTTTTTTTAAAAGACTGTCATGAAATAAAAGCTCAGCATTATGGTTAAAGAAAGAAGCATATTGATGGGAATATTCTCCCAACATAACGAAAAAAGATATAACCACACTGGTGTTGGAAAACTGGCGACTTATTTTGTTGTTTTTAATGATAATTTACGTGAAGCTTTGCAAAGTAAGGATAGATCAAGTTATGGTGATCACTGAAAGTTATAATGCTAAACTATTAGCTAGGCTTGACTGAAGCTAACACTTTGGTTTTGCGTCTTCAGGACATCGGTGTGAACGAGGAGCCCAGTGCAGACCAGACGGACCTGTCGGCCAGCCCTCCTCTGCCCTACGTACCTCCGCCACCCCTCTCGCTGTCCGACATCACCGCCCAGGAGCCGCAGGATGGCCTGGGCCACTCCGACGTCTCCGAGAGCCTGACGAACCCGGTGGAGGAAGGAGACGACCGGGAGGGAAGCGCCGGCTTCGAGTTTGACGACAAGGAGGAAGAGGAAGTGGAGGACTTGTCGGCGGAGGCCATGGAGCAGCAGAACGTGGATGAAAAAAGGGAGCCGAGTCTGGAGAGAGAGGAATGTAATTCAGACCAAGGTATGTCAGATTCAAACTGTCCACAGATTTCTTTGGGTCCAACTACGAATATGAACTCTGAACTCAGGCATTTTCTGAGTCTTTTTTTCCCCCTCACTGTGGGTTCATTTTTCACTGCAATATAAAGTCCTGCACCTCCTGGGGTTTAGCGAGTTAGAGGGATGTCAGCGTATTTCTAAATCATTGAGCTACAAATTCCATAAATACTTGATTCGTGTCCCATGTTAATTTATCCCAAATTGTTTTCTACTGTTGTCCTACATGTATCACTGCATCTTATTATCCTTTTGTTTTTGTTCTTTGTTTTATCCACCAAAGATCAGTGGGGAAAAAAACAAAGATAAAACCATGAACAATCAGATTTAATTATAAACAACTTGTGAACTTGCTAACAAGGTGTTGTGTTGATGTGTTGATGTGTTGTTGTGTTGTCAGTAGACCATGAGTCATAAAAAGTTGTGCCACTGTGTACAATATCTGAAAACTTTGGCACCTCCAAGTGGCAGGATTAAAACACTACCAACCTGCCACACAGAGAGAAATACAACTTTACATCTTTTACCGTTTATGTTCGCAGGTGCAGACCAAAGTTTGGGAGTCTTGAATCCACCCATGGAAGTTCCAGAGATGGACGGGATAGAGCCAGAGCCGGACCTGGGAGAAGAGGGCTCGAGGAAAGAGGAGAGCTTTGACCAAACGGAGCACAAAGAGGATTTAACCCAAGACCCTTTTCTGGGAAAGCTGGTACAGGAGGGAAGCCTGGTGTGTCCCGAGTCTATCGAAGAGTCCGTGGAGGAGGTGGACGGGTTGATTCTATACCAGGCGGAGAAGGAGGCGACGATGGAAAACTCGCTGGAAACGGAGGATTTGATGGTCGGCGCCACTGGGGAGTTTGTGCAAATGAAAGGAATGCCAAAAAACAGCATGGACCTCGCCGACCAGGTGGACGAGATCTCAGACGGGCAGGTGGACGACGTCGCTCTGATCGATGACACCGCGGTGCAACCCCGTGACGAAACGCCAGAGAAGGCCGCCAAGCAACCGGACGCCAAAACCAACGAGATGGAGCTGGAGAACATTTACTCGGAATACGCTCAGCCCTCCTGCCCTTCTGTTTCCGTCTCGTCCCCGACGCTGCCATCAAAGTCTGCTCAAACCGCCGGAGAGAGCAAAGATGAAGCCAAAACCGAGGCCTCAGCGGATCAGGATGGTTCAGTCGAGGAGATGAACTCGGCAGATGGCGACGGAAGCTGCAAGAACAGAGGCCTGACATTCTCCCTTCATCAAGACAGCAAAGACAATCTGCTCGATCAGAGTGAAATCAAAATGGCCTCGGCTTTGCCCGTAAACAGCGTTGACTCAAAGCCGTCTGATGTTAAATTCTCTCTTGTAGCAGACAGCGGCGTTGACAAAAAACCAGAGCAGCTGCTGCTGGCCGCCAAAGTCGAGGAGACCAAGACGGAGACCGCCGAGGACGTCTGCCCAGACAGCTCTGAGGTCAAACATGCTAATTTTTTTTCCTACGCCGTAAAGTCGGAAGATCTGGTGACCAAAGCCGAGCAGTTAGAGTATCCTGTTAAAGCTGAAACAATGGAGACCAAACCTGAAGATCTCAGCCTTCCCATGAAGCCCGAGAACTTGGACACCAAACCCGAAGTTCTCCAGTTTGTAGCCTACTCAGATGGTGAAGTCAAACCCGAAGTCAAACCGCTAGCTCTGGGGTTTGTTGCGTATCCAGACAAGCTTAAGACGGAGACGAAGCCTGAAGGTTTGAATTTATCTGCGTTTCCCGACACTTCTGCCGTCAAGCCCGAAGCCAAGACGGAGGGCGGTGGGTTCCCAGCCTACCCGGACAGCTCCGAGATCAAACCCGAGGCCAAGCCGGAGGGGCTGGAGTTCGCGGCTTTGTCCGAAGTCAAAGCTGAGACCAAACAGGAGATGCTAGAGGCCGACAGCACGGTCCTGACGCCGAAGCTCGAGCAGGCTGACGGGCTCGTAGAAACCTCGGAGAACCCGGTGGTGAAAAGCCAAGTGAAGGAGGAGAGACCAAGTACACCAGGTGAGGAAACCAGATTTATCTCGCATTTAGTGTGTGAACTGCCATCGTCTCTCAAGGCAGACTGCTGACTCTAAACCTGCTGTGGTCCTCCGTAGTGCCTGTGGTGGAAGGCTACCCGGGCAGCCCCAGGTTCGCAACCCCCATCTCCATGTGCGAGATCCCCGACAGCCTCCACGAGCCCCGGGAGCCCACCATCGCTCAGCTGCTGCAGGAAAAAGCACTTTACTCGTTCTCCGAGTGGCCTAAGGTACCGGAGTGTCTTTCACGCCTAATATGTCCGTTTGGTTATTTTTAGAATTCATTTTGCATGACGTGTTTAGCACTAAGTGTAAAACAGCTGATTGGCAATATCACGAGCTAAAGGCTGTTTGTGCTCTCTTTTCAACCCTCTGGACTCCAGGCAGTTTCTGGGTGTTTCTACTCACTGTGGGCTCATTTTTCACTGCAGTTTAAAGTCCCGCACCTCCACTAAAGCAGCGCAGTCATGACTAGAAGTAGAGAGAACTCAGATGTATGTAGTACAGTATGGCATAGTTATTATGCAATAAATCGTCCCAGATGTTACCAACACTAGAAGTAATGGTGGCTCTACATATTTACAGATAGGTTACTACTAAAAATTTAAATTTGCTTCCAAACCTGTCTCCTGTCTGCCGAAAAGTCTGAGTTTTTTTGTAAATTGTTTATTTTTGGCAATTATTTCAATAACATTGTCCCGGCATGTCACAGATGAGTAGTTCAAAGACCCTCAAAATGTTGTGAATTTCTGTTTCTGGCTCTGATAAATGGTGTCAATTCAGTAAACACAACATGGGTTTTAGATTTCATAGGGTTAATTGTTCGTATACTCTTTGTTGGATTGTTTATTGATTATGCAAAAAATACTCGTTTTAATATTTTTATAGTGCACCAAAAAAGACAAAAACAAAGTGTTGCTGCTGTCAGACAATGAAATGTTCACTTGTGAGACCAGTAGAAAAATCAATTGGAAGAAAATATAAATTAGCCACTCTGTTTTTTTTTTAGATTTAACTATTTTGTGGTACCTTGCTGCACGTTCTGTCATTTTGTCAACCTCAAGATTCACTGCAATACGTAGTAAGTTAGTCAAACGCAGAAAATACCTGAATGTCCTGCAGCATCCGGTTTTGCAGTAATTAAGTAGCATGTTTTGTTTTGTTTTGTTTTGTTTTGGGTTTTTTTCTGGCTATCCTGACCCACAATCATCCTCTGCTCGGTCACATCTTGTTCATCTCGAGTCGTCCTCTAGCGTCGTAGTCGCTCCTAGCCGAGATGTGAGCGGCTGTTTTAAAGTGACGTCAGTTAAATATGATGCATGCGGTGCAGCAGCGTCGTCTGTCCATAGTTTTCTTACGGCTGCAGTATTTTATGGTCTGTTTTAGGTGAAAATTACGGTTTTAATTATAACTTATTTCCAATCACAATGTGGCAAAACTTTGTATTTTTATTTAGCAAATGTGCGTCAAAGTATAAAAGATGAACGACGTGCAAGAGAGCAGCTAACATGCAAATACAACCACATGTGTTGTGATAGGTCCTCTTCCTGGCGTGGTTTGTATGTTCCAGCCTTTTTTAGGTCGGATACATCGAGGATAGACTCGCGCATCTTTGCTCGCAGCTCCTCCAGATGCATTTTAAGATAAGAGAAGATAAGCCTTTATTAATCCCACAGTGGGGGAAATTTACAGCAGCAAAACGGGTTGGTGCAGTTTTAGTAGAGCAACAACCCAGAAAATACACATATGTGCTGATTCTTCCGTATGTTGATGTTCACATGATCTTCCATGAGTAGAAATCCTTGGACGCATTTAAGGTCTTTATGGTGGTGCATCAAGATTGATTTCTGGGTCACGTTCAGGAGGACGACCTTGTATCTGTTCATCGTCTTCCTGCTGCTTCGTTCAATCCTTTGCCGTTTCATTTCACCCCCTCGCTGCAGGACCGAGTGATCATCAACCGCCTCGACAGCATCTGCCACGCCATCCTGAAGGGGAAGTGGCCGTCGTCTAGCGAGCAGTACGACTCTCCCGGCTCGCTGGCCGCCAACTCGTGTCTGGCCAACAGCTTGGCCCAGCACCACCAGCAGCAGCAGCAGCAACAGCAACAGCAGCAGCAACAACAGCAACAGCAGCAGCAGCAGCGAGCGGCCTTCCTCACCTCCACCACGGCCTCCAGCTCCGTCGCCGGACAGGCCAGAGTCCAGCAGGCGAGTCCAGGGCTGGGCTTCTCCATACCGCCGCCTCTCACAAGACTGCCCAAGGTGAGAACCTCGACTCTGACCTGGCGAATCGATGAGTTAACTCCCTCTGTTACACATATCAGTGTATCTGTCATCTGTCTACATTTATCTCTCTATCATACCATGGTTCATGCCGGTGGTGTCCAGTTTGCCTTTAGTCCTGTTAGGTAGACCGACTGCAGGCTTTCTATAGACTGACACTGTGGGTTTCATTTTTTGTGCTCCCAAAAAGTAGTTTTATGTGTTCCGTTAATTAAACCTGGTTTTATATCTAATTTATTTGTGCCACATCCTTGACGTAACCCTTAATTTACTCTTTGAATCCCCAAAACTAGCCAATAGGTCTGACAGGCACGTTATCTAATCGATCTAATCGTCAAAATTGCGCCGTTTATTAGAGCCACAAGTTGCAAAAACTGGAAAAATTAACACATGTTCAACTTTCAGATGGTCAAATGATTCAAATCTAAGCTTAAAGCGGTGATTTTTAATTGCAGTTGCTTTAAAAGCTTTAAAAACTGGCTCAAAATTACCCGTTTTTACTAATCAGATTCTGTATAAAACAGGAAAGAATTTTTAGATTTTTAAATTCTGACAATCCTTGAACTAATCGGGTCTGTGAAGATTCTCAGTCATCCAGGTCATGGTTATTCTCGTAGTTTAATCAATCAACAAAATGTCAAACGTGAACAGTTTCAGGTTGGTAGCGCTGGGCACCTCGAGTTCACACCATTGCTTTGTTGCTTATATGTCGAGTTTCCTGTCTCTGTAATGTGTACTGTTGATATTATATATGTGGCTATTAGACGTGGGCAGAGAGTCCTAATGGAAAAGATCAGCATATATAAAGAAAAATCCTGTATTTGAGGGAATAATCGTGTTAATTGACATCCAACACGTAGTCTAATTAGCATCTTTAAATTAAAGGGACTGTTTAAAGATTGATGCACACAACAGTCCAGATGGGTTTGTTTGACTTCATATCTATCCAAGTGAACAAACTGAGGAAGTTTAGCTTCCGATGATAGACAGGTTTAGAGATGTCTGGTGGTTTTACCCAGGTCTGGTTGACAGCCCCACTGTGTTGTGTCTCAGTCCATATGTATGTTTAACAAATCCATCATCTCTCTCCCATTCTTGTCTACCCCTCACCCACCCTGTCCACCCTGACAGTACATGCCGCGGGGCGGCGCTTGCGGGCGCGGAGCTTGGCGCCTCACCTCCTTGCCTCTCTTACAGGAGAGGCTGGTGGCTCCCCCCTTCCTCCCTGAGCTCAAACGAGCGGGAGGTCGGAGGTCTTTCGACTATGAAGCTGCCGCCGTGGCAGCCGCCAAGGTTTTAGCTGGGAAATCTGCATCGTCGTGCCACACTGCTGCTGCTGCCGCCGCAGCCGCCGCCACCAGCTCCGGCGGCGACAAGGTGCCGGTGGTGGCTCCGCCCTCTCACCGCACGGGGGCCTTGTTGATAAACGGCTGGCAAGAAGCAGCCATCGATCTGACCAAGTCTTCGGGAGAAATAAGCACCACGAGCGCCATTGGGACGAATGAAGCCGTGGTCGCGGCGGCGGGAATCGGCCACCACGGTGCCGGCGCGGGCGGCAGCCACAAGCTGCCGCCACCGCCCCCCATCACGGCGCCGCTGCCGGGCTCCGTGGGCATCGACATGGCTGGGATACTGCAGGCCGGCCTCATCCACCCTGTCACAGGACAGATAGTTAACGGGAGCCTGAGGGGAGATGATTCATTGAGGAGGAGGAGAGGGAGGAGGAGAAATGTGGAAGCTCTGTACTCTGAGTTCACCAAGAGCCGAGGACTGCACCTCCCTGAGACACAGGTGGGTGGAGCGAGGAGGGCCTTTACGGCGTAGCGGCAGTTAGAAATGTTGTTTGAGCTTCAGTGTGGAGGAGGAGAGAAACCCAGAGCAATTTGTGGGGGAAATTAAAAAAGTTAATTGCAAAAGATTGGATTTGAGGGGAGAGTCTGTTGCCTGAACGGCTGTGTGTTTGTGTACATGCGTGTGTCCGTCTGCAGGGCCGGGTGGAGGTGATCAGCCACTCCTCCGTCTCCTCGTCCACCTCCTCGCCGTCCCCCTCGCCCTCGGAGCGGCCGGCGGGGCCTCCAACTCCCTCCTCTTCCTCCACTCCCACGCCCACCCAGACGCCGCCTCAGCCGGAGATCGTGGCCATCGACAGGGAGGCGGCCAGCAAAGGTCTGATCGAGTGGCTCAGACAGAACCCGGGCTACAGCATGGATCTGCCGGCGTTCGCTCATGTAAGTCTGACAGTTTGTTTCTTTGTTCTGGTGTAAATCTGTCGTCTCCGCTGAGTTTACTTCTGGACGTGCATCTGAGTGATTTCGTCCTCTTTTTGTTTTTTTTTATTTTTTTCCTGCTGCAGTCCGGAGCAGGTCTGCTGCACGGCTTCGTGGATCGTCCCAAACAGAGGAGGCACCGCTGCAAAGATCCCACCAAGCTGGACATCAACTCCCTGACGGGGGAGGAGAGAGTCCCTGTGGTGCACCGAGGCACAGGACGCAGGGTAGAGAACGCAGTACATATACACTCAATTCTTCTACAGCCATAAAATTCACTTCAGTTGGATTTTTAAAAAAAAATCTTGAACGTGAGTTGATGGCGTTCTCTTCCTCCACAGCTCGGTGGCGCTATGGCTCCTGCTATCAAGGAGCTGTCCAGGTGGCTGGATGCAAACTCGGAGTACTACGTGGCTCCAGACTGGGCTGACGTGGTCAAACACTCTGTGAGTATCAAACACGCAGGATCGTCAACATAAAAATAGATTTTTTCCCTCACTGTGGCCTCATTTTTCACAAAGTCCTGCACCTATATGAAAACAGATCAACCATGAAGAAGGAGAGAGAACTCAGAAATCTCCACTGTGCTGTTTGACAGGTAGAATGACATAAATCCTGAAAAAGGAAAAAAATAAAACTGGTGTCAACATGTGACCAGATGTGTTACCTTCACTAGAAAAATGGTGGCTCTGTCTTCTATAAATATTCTACTACTGACATATTACATTTGCTTCCATAGTTTTAGTTTATTTGTGGCAATTTTCCAACAATAATAAAAGTTTTTAATCAAGATTTGGTCCATATTCCTGGTTCTTCCTGTTTTGGGTTTTGTTTTGTTTTTTGTTTTTTTCCAGGTTTCTTGCTCTATAGATGGTGTAATTTGAAAAAATAAATAAATTGCCTTCTAAACTTGAAGGCACATTGTCACATCCTCTAAAACTTCAAACCTGCCAGCAGGTCTTGAAAGATGTGTTTTCCTTTTTTAATTTTTTTTAAATCACCAGAATTACACCATTTTGGAGAGATGAAAACTGAGAAAATAGAAGATTTGTTAGATTTCGTCTTTCAACTACTTCTGTCAGAAAAAAATGACAAAGTGTCAGCTTAAGATGTTGGACATGTTTTTAGAGATTCTGTAAAATATTCAAAGAAATTCAGCTTTTGGTTTTCTTTTACTATTCATGTCATTCTAACTTTGTCGTGCTGCACAGAGGAGATTCCTGAGTTCTCTCTCCTTCTTCATGGTTCTGTTTCCATCGAGGTGCAGGAAAATGTGACAGGAACAAAAACCACCCAGAAACCTCACACTGTCCTCCTCCTGCAGGGTTTCCTCCCTGAGGGGAAGTTCTCTCGGATCCTGACTGAACCTGTCAACAGAGATCCAGGCTCTCGGCGCCGCGGACGTCGTCCTCGCAGCGAGATGCCGAAGCCCCTCCTGTCCGTGTCCGACTCGTCGTCGTCCGGCCTCGGCCCGCCGCTCTTCATGAACGGCGGTTTGATCGGCAGCATGGACTCCATGGTGGCCATGCAGAACCTCCGCGGCGGCATTCCCGGGATTCCCATCTCCGGCATCATGGCAGCCGGATTCCCTCACGGTTTCTCGGCGGCCGTCACGGCGGGGGCGGCCGGAGCGTCGGCGGAAGACGCCAAGAACGGGCTGAGTATGTTACCCATGATGCTCCACGGTATCCCGCACCCCCACGGCGCCGCCATCCCTCAGCACGCCTTGTTCAGCGTCGGCACCATGATGGCGCACACGGCGCCGCCGCCTCCTCCTCAACCCACGTCCTCTTCCTCCTCCACCTCTGCTTCCTCTTCACTGTCAGCCGCCAAGGTCACCACGACGACCGCGCCATCCACATCCGAGGCGGCCAGCCCGTCATCGACGACGCCCGCCGAGAGGGAGGGCGCCGCCGACAAGGAGAGGAGCCGCGAGGAGAAGGGAGTGGCGGAGGGCGGCAAGCGAGTGGTGGCAGCGGAGGCAGCGGCCATCATCACCTCCACCAGCAGGGCCCACCTGGGCGCCGCCCACCTGGGGGCCGGCACCGGCAGCCATCTTACCTTCAACCCCTTCCTGATCCCCGGCATGTCCCACGGCCTGCTGTACCCGCACATGTTCCTGCCCCACGGCGGCATCATGGCGCTGCCCGCCATGCCGCCCGGCTCCGTGGACGGCTCGCCGGGCAGCCCGAAGAGGAGGCGGAAGAGAGGGAGGGAGGAGGGGGAGAGAGAGGAGGAGAGGGGGGAGAAGGCGGCGGCGGCGGCGACGACATCATCGGGAGACGCGGAGGAAAGTACAGTTAAGGCCTCGTCGCCTCCCTCCGTCGCCTCTACCTCAGAGCCGCCTCCCACCGAGGAGCTCCAAGGAGACGACGGACCCTCGGAGCAGCAGGAACCGGACTCCAATAACCACAGCGAGGGAGCGGCGGCGGCGGCGGCGACAGCAGAAAACGAGGAGCCGACAGAGGAGGAGGAGGAGAAGCAGGACGCTGAGGAGCAGAGACAGACGGAGGAGGCATAGAGGAACGAACCACTCGCTGCCTCCGGTGTTGCTTCCTTTTGGAGCAACAGTGTAAAGTTTGTGCCGTGTCTGTCAGTCAATGTCCATGTAAAGACTTTTATTATGATGATGACTAATGATAACGATGATTATATTCAACTTGGTCATGTTTATATACCAGGACCCCACCAACCCACCCACCCACCTTCTCCTCCTCCTTCCCCTCATTGTATACAACAACAACAACAACAGCAGCAACAAAAAAAAAAGAGAAAACTAGTGTAAGAAATGATCTCTGTGTTCTTTCCGCTTCATTCTGCATCATGACTGAGTTGGACGGGACGTTTCTCAACACGCTCCACAGACGACAAAACCGAGGAGCGACGTTTCAAATGATCCAAGATGGTCTTTCTTTTTATTTTGTTGTTGTTTATTTGTTTGGTTTTTTTCCAAGTTTCTGGACATGCAGCTTTGGTTTCCAAGGATTACCGGGAAGTTGCAGCGAACCTGTCGGAGGCGGTGGAGGCTAAATTTGTCGAGCAACAGCACTTGTTCTGACGCTAAATTGAGAGATTTCTTTTATTATTATTTTTGGATTATATCTGTGCAATGTTCAAACACCTGCTAGCTACGTACCAGCGTGACACTAAAACGCCTTTTTTTTTTAATTTTATTTTTTCCTGACAGAAAACACTGGTGAGCATGAACTAAATATGCAAGCGCCACTGTCTGACAGCAGGCCGGAGACATTTCAGTGTAGCCCTTCAATAAAACAAAGTACATTTAGTGCGTTTAAATGCAGTCAAACCAGTAAGAAAAAACAAATTAGCCTCTATTAGTTTTATACCGACTGAAATAAACAAATTGTGACTGTAATATATCAACTTAAAGGTCAAAAAAAAGGTGAGGTTTAGTGAATCCCAGGCATGAATGTTAAATTTTTAGCCACTTTTATTCTAATAATTTTATTCTTATCGATGCCATCGCTGCAATAACTCCTCCCGTTCTGCACACTAGAAGATGTTTTTGCTTTTTTAGCAAAAGAACAATCATGAGATTCATTTGTCGTCACTTTTTTTTTTTTAAACTCAAAGCCACAAAGTCACTTTTAAAGATTCCCCACCTTCAACACACAAAAAGGAACGGGAACGCGAGAGGCTCAGTCGGGCCACTAGGGGGCGGCAGGAGGCAGATTTGATTGTGTCCCGTCCTGCAGAAGCCGAAATGGGAGAAAAGAGGAGAAGAAGGTGCTTTTATCAATTAATTTTTTTCGTGCCCCTGGAGGTTGTTGGAACCCTAAAATGATCAAATCAGCCGATCGGGAGCGGCCATGTTGAAATCATGACCTGTAGCATCACGTCGTCGTCGTTTCTCGTCTTTCTTTTTATTTTAACCCAGAAAGAAATCATGTGTGCGACCATCTGTCCAGGGAAAGGGAATGTTCTGTTTTGTATTTTAAAACACAAAAAAGAAAAAAAAAAAAAAAAAAGAGCAAAGAAGAGAGAAAAAACCAGGAAGAGGATGCAAAGTGAGTTTTTTTTTCTTTCTCCTGCTCAGATTAGTTTTAATAGCAGTTCATACTAAGAGTTTCTAAATATGTAAATCTATCGCTGTATATTGCTGTNTGTGAAGATTCTCAGTCATCCAGGTCATGGTTATTCTCGTAGTTTAATCAATCAACAAAATGTCAAACGTGAACAGTTTCAGGTTGGTAGCGCTGGGCACCTCGAGTTCACACCATTGCTTTGTTGCTTATATGTCGAGTTTCCTGTCTCTGTAATGTGTACTGTTGATATTATATATGTGGCTATTAGACGTGGGCAGAGAGTCCTAATGGAAAAGATCAGCATATATAAAGAAAAATCCTGTATTTGAGGGAATAATCGTGTTAATTGACATCCAACACGTAGTCTAATTAGCATCTTTAAATTAAAGGGACTGTTTAAAGATTGATGCACACAACAGTCCAGATGGGTTTGTTTGACTTCATATCTATCCAAGTGAACAAACTGAGGAAGTTTAGCTTCCGATGATAGACAGGTTTAGAGATGTCTGGTGGTTTTACCCAGGTCTGGTTGACAGCCCCACTGTGTTGTGTCTCAGTCCATATGTATGTTTAACAAATCCATCATCTCTCTCCCATTCTTGTCTACCCCTCACCCACCCTGTCCACCCTGACAGTACATGCCGCGGGGCGGCGCTTGCGGGCGCGGAGCTTGGCGCCTCACCTCCTTGCCTCTCTTACAGGAGAGGCTGGTGGCTCCCCCCTTCCTCCCTGAGCTCAAACGAGCGGGAGGTCGGAGGTCTTTCGACTATGAAGCTGCCGCCGTGGCAGCCGCCAAGGTTTTAGCTGGGAAATCTGCATCGTCGTGCCACACTGCTGCTGCTGCCGCCGCAGCCGCCGCCACCAGCTCCGGCGGCGACAAGGTGCCGGTGGTGGCTCCGCCCTCTCACCGCACGGGGGCCTTGTTGATAAACGGCTGGCAAGAAGCAGCCATCGATCTGACCAAGTCTTCGGGAGAAATAAGCACCACGAGCGCCATTGGGACGAATGAAGCCGTGGTCGCGGCGGCGGGAATCGGCCACCACGGTGCCGGCGCGGGCGGCAGCCACAAGCTGCCGCCACCGCCCCCCATCACGGCGCCGCTGCCGGGCTCCGTGGGCATCGACATGGCTGGGATACTGCAGGCCGGCCTCATCCACCCTGTCACAGGACAGATAGTTAACGGGAGCCTGAGGGGAGATGATTCATTGAGGAGGAGGAGAGGGAGGAGGAGAAATGTGGAAGCTCTGTACTCTGAGTTCACCAAGAGCCGAGGACTGCACCTCCCTGAGACACAGGTGGGTGGAGCGAGGAGGGCCTTTACGGCGTAGCGGCAGTTAGAAATGTTGTTTGAGCTTCAGTGTGGAGGAGGAGAGAAACCCAGAGCAATTTGTGGGGGAAATTAAAAAAGTTAATTGCAAAAGATTGGATTTGAGGGGAGAGTCTGTTGCCTGAACGGCTGTGTGTTTGTGTACATGCGTGTGTCCGTCTGCAGGGCCGGGTGGAGGTGATCAGCCACTCCTCCGTCTCCTCGTCCACCTCCTCGCCGTCCCCCTCGCCCTCGGAGCGGCCGGCGGGGCCTCCAACTCCCTCCTCTTCCTCCACTCCCACGCCCACCCAGACGCCGCCTCAGCCGGAGATCGTGGCCATCGACAGGGAGGCGGCCAGCAAAGGTCTGATCGAGTGGCTCAGACAGAACCCGGGCTACAGCATGGATCTGCCGGCGTTCGCTCATGTAAGTCTGACAGTTTGTTTCTTTGTTCTGGTGTAAATCTGTCGTCTCCGCTGAGTTTACTTCTGGACGTGCATCTGAGTGATTTCGTCCTCTTTTTGTTTTTTTTTATTTTTTTCCTGCTGCAGTCCGGAGCAGGTCTGCTGCACGGCTTCGTGGATCGTCCCAAACAGAGGAGGCACCGCTGCAAAGATCCCACCAAGCTGGACATCAACTCCCTGACGGGGGAGGAGAGAGTCCCTGTGGTGCACCGAGGCACAGGACGCAGGGTAGAGAACGCAGTACATATACACTCAATTCTTCTACAGCCATAAAATTCACTTCAGTTGGATTTTTAAAAAAAAATCTTGAACGTGAGTTGATGGCGTTCTCTTCCTCCACAGCTCGGTGGCGCTATGGCTCCTGCTATCAAGGAGCTGTCCAGGTGGCTGGATGCAAACTCGGAGTACTACGTGGCTCCAGACTGGGCTGACGTGGTCAAACACTCTGTGAGTATCAAACACGCAGGATCGTCAACATAAAAATAGATTTTTTCCCTCACTGTGGCCTCATTTTTCACAAAGTCCTGCACCTATATGAAAACAGATCAACCATGAAGAAGGAGAGAGAACTCAGAAATCTCCACTGTGCTGTTTGACAGGTAGAATGACATAAATCCTGAAAAAGGAAAAAAATAAAACTGGTGTCAACATGTGACCAGATGTGTTACCTTCACTAGAAAAATGGTGGCTCTGTCTTCTATAAATATTCTACTACTGACATATTACATTTGCTTCCATAGTTTTAGTTTATTTGTGGCAATTTTCCAACAATAATAAAAGTTTTTAATCAAGATTTGGTCCATATTCCTGGTTCTTCCTGTTTTGGGTTTTGTTTTGTTTTTTGTTTTTTTCCAGGTTTCTTGCTCTATAGATGGTGTAATTTGAAAAAATAAATAAATTGCCTTCTAAACTTGAAGGCACATTGTCACATCCTCTAAAACTTCAAACCTGCCAGCAGGTCTTGAAAGATGTGTTTTCCTTTTTTAATTTTTTTTAAATCACCAGAATTACACCATTTTGGAGAGATGAAAACTGAGAAAATAGAAGATTTGTTAGATTTCGTCTTTCAACTACTTCTGTCAGAAAAAAATGACAAAGTGTCAGCTTAAGATGTTGGACATGTTTTTAGAGATTCTGTAAAATATTCAAAGAAATTCAGCTTTTGGTTTTCTTTTACTATTCATGTCATTCTAACTTTGTCGTGCTGCACAGAGGAGATTCCTGAGTTCTCTCTCCTTCTTCATGGTTCTGTTTCCATCGAGGTGCAGGAAAATGTGACAGGAACAAAAACCACCCAGAAACCTCACACTGTCCTCCTCCTGCAGGGTTTCCTCCCTGAGGGGAAGTTCTCTCGGATCCTGACTGAACCTGTCAACAGAGATCCAGGCTCTCGGCGCCGCGGACGTCGTCCTCGCAGCGAGATGCCGAAGCCCCTCCTGTCCGTGTCCGACTCGTCGTCGTCCGGCCTCGGCCCGCCGCTCTTCATGAACGGCGGTTTGATCGGCAGCATGGACTCCATGGTGGCCATGCAGAACCTCCGCGGCGGCATTCCCGGGATTCCCATCTCCGGCATCATGGCAGCCGGATTCCCTCACGGTTTCTCGGCGGCCGTCACGGCGGGGGCGGCCGGAGCGTCGGCGGAAGACGCCAAGAACGGGCTGAGTATGTTACCCATGATGCTCCACGGTATCCCGCACCCCCACGGCGCCGCCATCCCTCAGCACGCCTTGTTCAGCGTCGGCACCATGATGGCGCACACGGCGCCGCCGCCTCCTCCTCAACCCACGTCCTCTTCCTCCTCCACCTCTGCTTCCTCTTCACTGTCAGCCGCCAAGGTCACCACGACGACCGCGCCATCCACATCCGAGGCGGCCAGCCCGTCATCGACGACGCCCGCCGAGAGGGAGGGCGCCGCCGACAAGGAGAGGAGCCGCGAGGAGAAGGGAGTGGCGGAGGGCGGCAAGCGAGTGGTGGCAGCGGAGGCAGCGGCCATCATCACCTCCACCAGCAGGGCCCACCTGGGCGCCGCCCACCTGGGGGCCGGCACCGGCAGCCATCTTACCTTCAACCCCTTCCTGATCCCCGGCATGTCCCACGGCCTGCTGTACCCGCACATGTTCCTGCCCCACGGCGGCATCATGGCGCTGCCCGCCATGCCGCCCGGCTCCGTGGACGGCTCGCCGGGCAGCCCGAAGAGGAGGCGGAAGAGAGGGAGGGAGGAGGGGGAGAGAGAGGAGGAGAGGGGGGAGAAGGCGGCGGCGGCGGCGACGACATCATCGGGAGACGCGGAGGAAAGTACAGTTAAGGCCTCGTCGCCTCCCTCCGTCGCCTCTACCTCAGAGCCGCCTCCCACCGAGGAGCTCCAAGGAGACGACGGACCCTCGGAGCAGCAGGAACCGGACTCCAATAACCACAGCGAGGGAGCGGCGGCGGCGGCGGCGACAGCAGAAAACGAGGAGCCGACAGAGGAGGAGGAGGAGAAGCAGGACGCTGAGGAGCAGAGACAGACGGAGGAGGCATAGAGGAACGAACCACTCGCTGCCTCCGGTGTTGCTTCCTTTTGGAGCAACAGTGTAAAGTTTGTGCCGTGTCTGTCAGTCAATGTCCATGTAAAGACTTTTATTATGATGATGACTAATGATAACGATGATTATATTCAACTTGGTCATGTTTATATACCAGGACCCCACCAACCCACCCACCCACCTTCTCCTCCTCCTTCCCCTCATTGTATACAACAACAACAACAACAGCAGCAACAAAAAAAAAAGAGAAAACTAGTGTAAGAAATGATCTCTGTGTTCTTTCCCCTTCATTCTGCATCATGACTGAGTTGGACGGGACGTTTCTCAACACGCTCCACAGACGACAAAACCGAGGAGCGACGTTTCAAATGATCCAAGATGGTCTTTCTTTTTATTTTGTTGTTGTTTATTTGTTTGGTTTTTTTCCAAGTTTCTGGACATGCAGCTTTGGTTTCCAAGGATTACCGGGAAGTTGCAGCGAACCTGTCGGAGGCGGTGGAGGCTAAATTTGTCGAGCAACAGCACTTGTTCTGACGCTAAATTGAGAGATTTCTTTTATTATTATTTTTGGATTATATCTGTGCAATGTTCAAACACCTGCTAGCTACGTACCAGCGTGACACTAAAACGCCTTTTTTTTTTAATTTTATTTTTTCCTGACAGAAAACACTGGTGAGCATGAACTAAATATGCAAGCGCCACTGTCTGACAGCAGGCCGGAGACATTTCAGTGTAGCCCTTCAATAAAACAAAGTACTTTTAGTGCGTTTAAATGCAGTCAAACCAGTAAGAAAAAACAAATTAGCCTCTATTAGTTTTATACCGACTGAAATAAACAAATTGTGACTGTAATATATCAACTTAAAGGTCAAAAAAAAGGTGAGGTTTAGTGAATCCCAGGCATGAATGTTAAATTTTTAGCCACTTTTATTCTAATAATTTTATTCTTATCGATGCCATCGCTGCAATAACTCCTCCCGTTCTGCACACTAGAAGATGTTTTTGCTTTTTTAGCAAAAGAACAATCATGAGATTCATTTGTCGTCACTTTTTTTTTTTTAAACTCAAAGCCACAAAGTCACTTTTAAAGATTCCCCACCTTCAACACACAAAAAGGAACGGGAACGCGAGAGGCTCAGTCGGGCCACTAGGGGGCGGCAGGAGGCAGATTTGATTGTGTCCCGTCCTGCAGAAGCCGAAATGGGAGAAAAGAGGAGAAGAAGGTGCTTTTATCAATTAATTTTTTTCGTGCCCCTGGAGGTTGTTGGAACCCTAAAATGATCAAATCAGCCGATCGGGAGCGGCCATGTTGAAATCATGACCTGTAGCATCACGTCGTCGTCGTTTCTCGTCTTTCTTTTTATTTTAACCCAGAAAGAAATCATGTGTGCGACCATCTGTCCAGGGAAAGGGAATGTTCTGTTTTGTATTTTAAAACACAAAAAAGAAAAAAAAAAAAAAAAAAGAGCAAAGAAGAGAGAAAAAACCAGGAAGAGGATGCAAAGTGAGTTTTTTTTTCTTTCTCCTGCTCAGATTAGTTTTAATAGCAGTTCATACTAAGAGTTTCTAAATATGTAAATCTATCGCTGTATATTGCTGTCTTTTTTTTTTGTTTTTTTTAAAGTGCACCATTTATTTCCTTTCTGTCGTTTGATTTCTCCGTTTAGGGGAAAATACTTGACACATTGCGAGTGTTTTTATTTTTTTGGTTTGGTCCCAGTGTTTTCTGTATCGAACAGACCGTACTGTACATTAAATGGATGCAAGTCGCTGGTTTTATTCAGTCTTTTCGCAACAACAGGGTGTGTATTTCCGGGGTTCAGACGTTTCCGTTGATGTTACGTGCAACTTCATGTTTTTTTTTTTCGTGTGTGTTTTCATACATGAAAACATTATTTTTGCACAATGTCTTTTTCGTGAACTTGTCTTTTTTTTTTTTCCTTTCCGTTAAATGTGTGTGTGAGAGTGTGTGTGTGTGTGTGTGGTAATGGGAGGAAGTGTTTGTGTGCATGCATGCGCACACGTCGTGGATCTACTTCTGTCTCGTCCTTACAGGTCACATTTCTTGTCGGGAAAAAAAAAAAAACACGAAAAAAAACACGAAACACATAGTTGTTGCCTTGTCACAGGTTTGTGGCTACATATAATTTATTATCCTTTTTTTTTTTTGCTTTGCCAAACTTTTACCAAATATGACATTCTCTTTTTTCTCTCTCTTAGTTTCATTATGTATTCAAAGTTTTAAAAAACAAAAACAAAAAAATGCCTTATTTAGCGAGTTGTTTTTTTTTCGTGTCGTTGTTCTGTTGCGTCTCGGTAGCGGGACGTGTTACCGTGTTTGTTGTTTTTAACGCGTACACAGCCTTTGGTGATGTGCATTATCTTCAAAGCCAACAGTAACGGAAGGTACCGCTGTTCAAATCACTACGTTAATTCGTACGAAAAAGGAAAAAAAAGAGTCAATCAGTTTTCCCTCAAAGCACAAATGGAGAGTTAACAAAAGAGGAAAAAAACAAAAAAGTGACTGTTTGCTTACCAGTGCCTCTAAAATTACGTCTTTCCTTTGATTTTCTTTCTTGTTATTTGTTTTGTTTGTTTGTTTTTATTGGTGAAACTCACTTGCACACTACTTCACATTTCCACGGTGACGTCAACCTTCGGAAAGCGGTTTTAAAATGAAGCGCCGTGCTGGTTCTAAGAGGGAGGTTCTGGCGTTTCTTCAGTCTGGATCACGAAAAAGTTCACATTTTAAATCTTAAGACGCACATATGAGTTACTCCTATAAAGAAAAACCCCAAATATATGCGTATTTAAGCTTTACCTTTTATATTTTCAACATTTTTAGAGTTACAGCCTTGAAATAAAATCGATTTTAAGCCTTTTTTTGGTATTTTTTCCATCATTTTTCATACTTTCATGAGTACAGAAGACAGACACGTGGGGCGTTTTTAAAGAATTTTTATTTAAGTATTTCTGGGTTCCTTTTGTTAGAACACATTTTAATATTTTGGGTTCTGGATGGTTATTCGAACAGAGCAGCACGTTCCAAGTTTTCCAGCTTGAGATTTGGGAAACTTCTGATGTTTTTTCAACCAAACAAATTCATCCAGAATGAAAATAAACATTAGCTGCAGCTCTGATTTTAATGCTGCCGGACGAAACTCTAAAACTAGTATTGAAGGACCCTTAAAGAACCACATAAAGAACATGAGTTTTCAATCTTATATCGATTTTGAGCATCAGTATTATGGGATGAGTCGTAGTTTTAACAGTAGTCATAGAAACAATCATTGTTTTCCTGGATGTGTTCCTGTTTTCTGATGATTCAACAGAGAAACCGTTAAACAGAGCACTTTGGGTAAACGTCGGAGGCTCGTGTGTGGTGTTGGATGGTCAGAACAAGTTCTAGACGATGACATTTCCTTATTTTTACCAACATTTGATACCAGAATCAACTCAGTTTCACTCTGTGGCAAAACAATGTTCTGAAATACGCACATTTTGACATGTGGGAAATGTCAAATTTGGGATTCCGACAGTTTCAAAAGAGACTTAAATGTGTTTTTCAATCCTGTAAATTATCGAAAAGTAGTTATAAAGTTGTGAGGCTCAGAAACAATTGAAAAGTGTGAAATTTCAACCCACCCGTCAGTACTTCAGGGGCCTTTAACTCAGAAAACATTCACAGCATGAAGGTAAAAACTTTGCACAACTTCATTAAATATACTGAAGTTATTGTCGATAAAAAAAAATTGCTGATTCTGGGGAAGTCTGGTTGATTTTATGCAGATTTTATTGACTGTAAATGGCCTAAACGCTGCCCCCTAGTGGCTCTTTGGGCTACTGCAGCAGCTACTTTCTAGTATTTTGCTCCAAATTGATGCTGCGAGCCGTGATCAGCGCCACTCTCGCCTACGTTTGGTTTTATCAAAGGAACAAAACAAATGTTGAGAAACGTCAGAACTTCCCTCCTGAGGATTCACGTCGTCAACGCGCACACATCCAGTCCGAGTATCTGCGATTCCGAAAATCAGAATCAGCTGAATCATGTGAGGGTTTTAGACTCGTAGTTGCACATCGTCGTAGTTTTTATTTTATTTTTTTTACCGGCTTGTTTTTAAAAACTCGCAACAAACTGCAGTATGTGACCACAGCGATGGATCCGTGTCGTCTCTTCACGTCGCCTTCTTCGACACTGTTCGGTTTCTCTTCTCACTGAAGTCCGTTTGTTTTTTTTTTTTTAACTTAAAACGGTCACCTCAAAATGTTTATCTCTTCTCATAAACGATGTATTTATTGTACAGTTCTCGTCTCTATGTCGTCGTTGTCTCACGACCGCTCAACGGCTGCTCGTTTTCTTTTTTGGTTCACGTGGAAGTTAAAACTGCTTTTCATCACCCGCTCGATCTGGGTTTTATACGTCGGAGTTACACGGTGAAGAGTTTGTGGGATGAATCCTCTTTGTTTCCTTTACGTAGCCACCGTAGCTTGAAGCAGTCTTTGGGATTGTTGTGCTAGAAAAGAATATCAATAATCTGGATTTAGGTGACTTTTTAACTCCAAATCGTGAAACAAAGCGAGTTTTTTTTTCGTCTCTTGACAGAGAAAACGACTGAAATGAGGTGTTTCTGGAAGAAACGTTTACGGTTACAGCTCCTGGGAGGATTTATTTGATGCTTCTTCTTGTTTTCTTGGCATCTTTCTGTCAGAATTACCAAATTAAAACGTCCACAAACGCAGATCGATGACTCACTGAATCAAAGGACAGATGCTGGATGTTATTTGACTTTTTTTTTTCTCATTTTGTCAGCGATTTGTTCGACTTGCAACCAAACCATCACCTGAACACGAGTTAGTCTGAGAAGTTTCGACTTGTGTGCATCAACACCAGCTACACACTTTATGGCTTTATTTATTTCAAACCTGCAAGACGCTGATCCCCTGTCAACTCATTTACTTACAGATCACCTTTTTATGTTACGTACCTTAAAAATAGGAACAAAAGCTCGGTCATGCGACGGCCTCAGAACTCAAACAAGCTCGAAACGCACCCAAAAGAAAAGGAGTCAAACCGGATTTTAATCAAACTCTGTCCCGTTCAGCCTATTTTTGCCTTGTAAAGTCAATCTCGACAACAGAACAGCTGAGAACTCTTCGTGCCAAGATGCGGTTTTCACTCTCGATTTACCGCCGGCTGGTTTCACAGACGCTCCAGTGTTTTTCTTGGCAGAAGGTGCAAACGTATAATACGAGTCGCAGCGTTCGCGATAATCGGACGGCGTGAAACCTGCAGTTCCCACGTACAGTGCAGAGCGTTCGACCTCGTGTTCGAAGCTGAATTACCTTTAGTTAAAGCTACCACGGCATTCGTTAGAGTCACACTTTCCTTGAATTTTAATTTATTGTGTTTATCGAGAGGCATGCTGAAGAGGAAACCGTTGATAAAAGAATTTTAAAAAAGCAGCTTTAACTTAAAATAAACAACTGATTTATTTACTAAAGTACGACAAACTGTGAAGGATTGCAGGTTCGGTCAGAATATCAAAGCTCCGCCACCTTCGTCGTGTCTGTGAAACCACCCGCCGACGTCATTTGACCCTCCACGGCTCCCGTACTCGCATCACCCAACCAAGTGCAATGAAACTCACAAGGATGCTCTTTGAGAAACTGAGACCCGGTCATTAATAAGTTATGTGGTGGGGTTTTTATCTTTTATTTTTATTTTATTTCCGTTTGGGTTTTTTTTTTTTTCTTATTTGTAACTATAGCTCTCTGTATTCCCATGTGGACCAATCTCATGAGTCAAAACATGGTATGTGTGATCTTTTATTGTGCAATAAAAGATGACTTTCAACTTTCCTTTGTCCGCGGTGAGTAATTCATTGACCCTAAAAACGTGGAGATTTGAGCTTGACGTCTCGATTTGTGTGTCAGATTGCAGGTGTGTCGAGCGCGGCGGCCTTCTGCGCGGTGCATGCTGGGAAAAGCTGCAGCGGCGCCGGAACGGATTCAAGGTATCCAGCAGCTCACACACGTTAGATGTCAAGAAAATATGTGAAATATGGTGCAAAAAGAAGTAAATTAAGAAAAACAAACAAATGGTGCAGGTACAGTTTAAGTAAAGAGGTATTAAAAAGTAGAAATGCAGTAAAAAATAATAAGTATGCAGACGGAGAGTGTAGTTAAGCAGTTGAAATCTGAAAATACAATACGTGTTGGACCTCTTACTTAATCGAAGTACCAAATCTGCACAAGTCAGTCCTGTTTTCATAATTTTACTTACAAGTAGTGGCTGATAGCGTTAGCATTGGCACGTCGAAGCACATATGCAGGAAAATGTTTTAGCAGGAATATAATTCATGCATTAAATTGTGCTGTTTTTTTAATCATCTGCTGGTTCGTCAACTCTATAATATTCAGAATTGATTTGTTGATTATGTCTTGCGTCAATGTGAATCAGCAAAGAGCTCGACTGGAGTTTTAAAAAAAATAGTCTTTCTGTCTGAAATGTGTGGAAAAGGTCCAATAAAGCAAAAATCAACCTCAATCTTCTTACTGGATGCAGCGGTTGAGTAACTTGCGGTGGCGTGCACTCAGCCGGAACAAATTAGAAAAATATTTGCCAACAAAGATTTATGTCCGCACATCCTGTTTGTTCGCCGAGCGCCTCTTCTTTGGCCACGTTTGAGGCTCTCGAATGTTCCGGGACGTCTCAAAAACATGAGAACCAAACTGTGTGTCATGATGTCAAAATATACATTTATTGAAACATACATTCACGTTTTGGAATAAAAAATCCCATTTCGTCCTCGAAAATATCGATAAATATAAAATTGACCGAAGCTAGCCATTAAAACCTTTTTATCAGCTCTGGAGAGGAAAAAAAAAAAAAAGAAGGAACACCCACATCTTCAGTCGCGCTACACCTTCACAGAAAGATAAGATAGAAAATACTAGCGTTTGATCTACACGTCGTCTCCGCTGTCCTTTTCATTTAAACAGCATGTTTGTATTGGAAAAAACATGTCAACTACATCCTGAAGATGTGATTTAAATGCAAAGTGTGAAGTTCAATTGTGTGGGAATTCCTTCTTTTTTTTTTTTTTTTTTTACGGACGTACGCTTTTGGGAAACACGATACAATCAGTGATTTCAAACAACCACCTGCTTTACTGAGATGATTTCAAGGCTGTGACTTTTTCAGCTTTTATTCTTCTTTGGCGTCTCGTATTAAGACTCACAGGAAGCAAATCACCAGAATAAGGACTTGAGTTGTTGCTAAACTCCTTTCTTACGCTGAGGACGGTTCCCAGCCGAGTGGCAGCCATGACAGGAGGTGGTCGAATTCTCAAAATTAAGGATGTTTACAATTAATTGTTGTTAATAATTTAACCGATTGAAAATATATTAAGTAATGAGGCTGAAGACGACGGACATGCGTGTCAAAAAATTTATTTCACATCAGCTGTAGTACCTGGTTGTTCCACCAGGCGGAGCCACTTGATCTGAGGACTGTATGAGCAGTTCTGTGTTGAGCAGCATGTAGAGGACGCTGCAGTTTCAGGTTCCTTGTTCGTCATCAACTCGATAACACAGTGACCGCTTGTTTACTCCAAATAGTCGCTGGCTGTTTTTTTATTTTTTTATTTTTATTTTTTTTTAGCCCACCGACACTAACAAAAAAAGAACCTTTGTACTGTTTTGTTTCGAAATAACCTTGAAATTCATATCTTAATTGGTAAAAAGTACTATTTGGGTGGAATAAACCTTCAGAATCGTAGCTCTTTTGTTAGAAAGTAGTATTTTGGTGGGACTAAACCTTAAAAACCACAACTTGTTACTTGAAACTGGTATCTGGGTAGACTAAACCCTTAAAACTCGTACTTGGACAAAATGTAGTACTTCAGCGTCTTTGAGCGTTCGGAAAAGCACTTTTTACATAAAATGTATTATTATTTTACTTAAGCAGAATAAACCTTTAAACCTGTTAGCCCTCAGACAAAAAAATAAGATTTCAGGTTGAATAAACTTTAAGAATAAATCTTAAAACCTATAAATACTTGGACAGAAAGTAGTATTTTGGGTGAAAATAAACTTTTGAAAATCTAAATACTTAGACAAAAAGTGATACTTTAAGAGGAATAAATCTTAAAACCTGTAAGTACTTGAACAGATGGTAGTATTTGGAGTTTAATAAATCTTTAAAACTATAAATACTTAGATAGAAAGTAGCATTTTTGTTAAATAAACCTTTAAACCTGCAAGTACTTGAACAGAAAGTACTGTGTGGGCAGAAAAAGTCTTCCAACCTGTAAACACTTGGACGGACAGTCGTGTTTTTGGGTGGAATAAACCTTTAAAACTATAACTACTTGGACAGAAAGTGATACTTTGGGAAGAATCAATCTTAAGACCTGTAAGTACTTGGACAGATTGTAGTAGTTTTGTAGAATAAACCTTCAAACCTGTAAGTACTCAGACAGGAAGTACTGTTTAGGAGGAATACATCTTCAAACTTGTACATACTTGTACAGATAGTGGTATTTAAACTATGAATACTTGGACAGAAAATGGTATTTTTGGTCAAATGGACCTTTAAAAAAAAAATACAAAATTGTAGTATTTTGGGTGGAATAAACCTTTAAACCCAGAAGTCGTCATAAACAAGGGTCCTAGGAGTGTGGTCCTGAAACTGCAGCTTCATACATGACGTTGCTTGTGTTGGTAAACAGAGAGCATCATGGGAGTTTAGCTAGCAGTGGGTATCTTTGATAAAACTTTGGCTTCATTTGTTTAGAAAACAATATTCATTCTTGTGTCTGTTGGATACGGTACTGTTGGTACGTTGGACACGGATCCATCCGCTATGAAAGAAAAGGAGATAATTAATAGAATTCTTTGTGGCTGAAACGTCGAGCGTGACGCATCATCCGCAGCAGAAGTCGCATTCTTTATTTTTGTCTTTTCGTCTGTCCTCGTAAATTCTCCTTCACATCTTTCCTTCACCTCATGACATTTTTCATTAGGGTAAAAGAAAAAAAAGACGAGTTCAGGAAGTGAAAAGTACTTTTTTTTTTTTGATAATTCGACCACAACCTACGACTCCCAGGTGACTCATCTCTTTATAAAGCCGACTATAAATACTGAGAGAACCGTCACAGGTGACAAAATCACACCAGATGAGTTCTGGAAACGTCAGAGAAGTCACTCCTTATGATTTAATTGAAACTTTATAAACTCTCAGACGTCCGTTGGTGGCGGATGAAGGGAGGCTTATTTATCGGCTACCGCAGAGTTGCAACACTTTCTCGGTGGGAACGTTTGACTCATCGCTCGCATGCGTCACGGCAGAAGAATCTCTTCCTGCGAGTGTCTACCGACGTTTCCAGTAAACCAGATCGTGGCGAGCGGCGGTTTTAAGTGAAGCTCTGGCCAATTGGAAGCAACGGTTCGGGGACAGATTTCGGCGTTTAGGCGTCTGGCGGAGCGTCGGTCTCTTCTTCAGGGGTCTCGGTGGTCGACGGCGGCGGCGTCTGTTGTTCCGTTCGCCGAGCTTCCAGCGCCGTCGCTGGCGAGCAGCCGTAGTCGTTTCCTTTCCCTCTTTCTTCCGAGCCCTCCTTTTTTATTCTTTCTTCTTTCTGACAGAGAGATAAGAAGCAAAGTGAAAACACTAAATAATGCAAACATTTTTTCAGTTTTTTCGGCTGGCAGCTCATTTCGTTCGATGCGCATCTGTGTTTCATTTCAGCCGCATACTTTGTGTTATCGTGTCTTTAAACCACCTCACCTCCACTGCACATGTTGTGTACGAGCACAGTGCGGCTGGATGCCTTCGGTTTAATCTCTAAATGAGCTGGAGACGGACAGCAAACGGGAGGATTCAGTTTAATTAATGCATGTGAATTTGTGTGTCATTTGTTGGATGAATCGGCTTTCACAAATTCATCATCAGGTTCTCATCAGTTCTGTTCCTGCATCACAACATCTACAAAGAGTTAATTAAGTTCTGATACTTTACAAAAACGTGCAAATGCCACAAAAATTCATTTTATACATTTTTTTTCTAAATGACAGTCCCATTCATACTTGGAGAAAAGCTCATTTTAACCCTTTGAACCCCCAAAACCCGTCAGGCAGCTTTAAAAGTCATGTGGTTTTTATACATCTCTAAAATTACACCTTTTATTTGAGCAACAAAACTAAAAACTGGAATGATTGGTTGGATTTCAACTTACTTTCAGTCTTTCAACTACTCATCTGTCAAACGTTCCTTCTATTAAAAATATAAAAATTACTAGAGCTGTCCAATAACATCGCCTCACCGATATAATCGGCCCGATATTGGCATAAAAATATAATATCTGTCAATATCGTTATTGCTTTTGCCTGGAATGAAAACCGATAATATAATGCCTGGATGTTGTCGACATTTGCGTGATGTGTTAATTCCACGACAGGAGATGTGTGATTTTACCTAATATTAGTTGAATAGCCCACATATATCGGTATCAGTTGATATCGGAATCGGCAATTGAGAGTTGGACAATATCGGACATCCCTAATCTTTACCTTAAAAATGCGATATTTTTCCAAAATCACTTGTCGCAATTTTTAAAAAATCACCAAAACATAAGCAGTTTGAGCTCACCAGATTCTGTAAAAACAGAAAAATGTCCTACTTTTCACTGCAACTGTGAAGCCATTTGGCGTCTAAGTTGTGGAAAAACTGTTGTGCCACAAAAATTCAGCATGTTTTAATGTGCTTCCACACATTAAACACGCAAGCAGGAAAATGTGTGTAGTGTTTAGAATCACAAATTTTTATTTGTTCTTTCTTTATGATTGTATGGTGTTATAACTTTGTCATACTGCATAAGAAGACATCTTTCTTCTTCTAGTCATGGTTGTTCTGTTTCCATCGAGGTGCAGGATTTTATATTAAAGTATAAACTGAACCTAGGAGGAGAAAAAAAACCTAGAAACTGTTGTCAGGGCTCAGAGGGTCGATGCATGCTATCTGCAGGAGGTGGTTCGAGGTTTGAGGAGTCTTTATCATCCCCGTGGGGTGATTTGCAGCCCACAACGAGACAATGATGACTAAATAAAACAGAATGTAGATCTCCTTTTTCAGCAGAGCAGTGGCAGCAGGGATGAAATAATAGATGTGTTTACTTCCTTTAACTTTAAAAGTCAACAGTTTGGTCAGGGTTTCCCAAACTCCCGTCTGGAACCGTACTGGTAGCAATCCGTTATAACAGCGCTACCAGTCAAAACTCCAAAGAGCTTCGTGTCTTGTGACGAATGTTTGGCTTCTTTCGGGTTCGTTGGGCTTCAGGATCAGATGATTGGAGGAAACTTCGTCTCTCTTGGTTGTTTTTGGTCTCAAAGTCGAATGCACAGTGATTCCTTCTCCATGCCTTGAATCTTCCCGACAACATGTTTCACTGCCGGTTTGTTTGTGTATTTACACTCAGCGCCATAACTCTCTACTACCTCCGATTTGCTATGAATCAGAACCTTTTTCCATCATCCACTGTGACGTATTTGGTCCCGTTTTGCTTCCACTGCACAGACTTTGAGACCAATTGAATGTTGCCTGAACTGAGAGTCTCGCCGCGACACGTCTTGTGCAGAAAGATGCGGTTCAGAGTAGCCCATGAAAAGCCGTATTTACAAATCCGCCGACTTCCATCCTCGTGTCTTCACCGGATTCCTCTGCAAACCAGCTTCTAAATAAAACTGTCATCGGTGGCTTCTTCTGTCCGACAGCGTCCGACGTCTTTGCCACACTTCTGTTATCAGTCAGTTCAGAACTGTGATCGCCTCACACTGGAATCTGATGTTGGCCACATTTTAAAAATACGGTGAGCGGCCAAGCTACAGGAATAAATCCAACCTCACTGCGCTGCATCAGCTTCCACTCTAACATCCCATAAAGCCCCATTAAACTGTCTGTGTAGATTCTCAGTCATCCTGGTCGTGGTATTCCCAAGAGCTTCAGGTGAAAGCAGCTATTCTTGGTCTCATCCGAGATTCCTCATCAGTCGTTTAGATGTGACGAAGCTTCTTGGATGACGGTGCAGCATCCTTATTCTGAAGCTCTCTGGACTGTCTTGACTCGGTTCAAGGACGTCGAGGCTCTCTTGATGGTACAGCGGTAGACCTGAGTGATGCTCAAACAGCTGCACCTCAGAAATGACCTCCTCTGTGCACAAGAAAAGAAGAACCTTGGGGTCAGTTTCTCTAATTTCCTCCGTCAATTGTTGACATTTCAACCAAAGATGGAGGAAGAATGTGCAAAGCCGCACAAAAGATATGTTTTCACGCTCCGTTAATGTAGTTCAGGTGTGTGGGGAAAAAAAAACTCTGATTGTGGTCCAGGATAATTACTGTGAAGCATTATGTGAACTGCTGCGTAGTTCTGCTGCTTGACGGTCCGTACGGAGTCCAGACCTGACAAGTGTCAGTAAAATATTCTCTGTGATGTATCGCTGCTTTGACAGGGGAATTTTGGCCTCAGAACCCTTCTCGGTGCTCCTCGCAGATCTGAAGTGTTGTCTGTTGTGAACACAGATACACCAGAATTTATGTGTGTTTTTTTTTTTTTTAAAGCCAGCAGACTTTAAACTTCAGTGGATCTGAACTCAATGAACAAACGTTTTGATATTTCATAATACATCCTGACATATCAGGGTAAAACCTAACCGTATATCTCATATAGCTGTCTTACGCTATTAGAGGAGGTTTTTAGCCCCGATAGAAAATGTGGTTTTGATGTTCAGCGAAAGGGGAGCAGAGCATCAGTATTTTTGGCTTCAGTTTAAAAGTGGAATCATTTTCTGTAATATACAGCGCTGATGTTGATTTAGAGGTTGGTTGGACATCAGAGAGTAAAAACAAATGCACTCAGAGAGGCAGGAAAGAAAGAAGAAGAAAAGAGGCGAACCGAACAACTTATTCTTCTAATTACACCCGAGTCCCGAAATGACTAAAATGTGTAATCGCTAAGTTGGTCCGCGGAGCAAAATCAGATCAGTTTCACGATGACAGCTGTAAAATTGTGAGATGCCTACTTTTGTTTTCTATTTGCCTGCATAGACGCACCCAGAAAACTGGAGTTCGGACCGTTCGCTTTCATTTTATGTTTGCATTTTAAGTCGCTTTTACCCTCCATTTACAGTCACTGTCTGCTTTCGTTTATGCTGCAGCGCTACTTGGTGAAGGCCAGGCACCAGAAGTGATTGGTTTGCTTTAGGGAACGATCAGGATTTGGGTTTAAAATTAGGGATTTCCCGATCTCTGTCATTTGATATTTAGTGTATGTCAGCACCGAGTCCCAGTGCCAGACCATATTCCTGCAAGACAAACATTTCAAGTACATTAAAGTTGTGAAATCAATCCTGTGTTTATGCTGGAAAACTGAAAAGCTCTGCAATGCATTAAGAAGTAAAAGGGCAGTTCTGCATCCAGTCTGTTTATCTCATGTAGGTGGTAGGATGCTATCTGAAATGCAGTGTGGAGAGGATATAAGACGGAAAAAACCTGTATTTAATAAAATATACGCCACAACCTTTTGGTCAGACCATGTTGTAGATCCGCTGTAGTACCTGGTTGTACCACCAGGTGGAGCCTCTTATTGTTTAGTGCTGTAGAGACCAGAGGAAGTGGTCACTCAGACTACAGGCAGTTCATGTTGGCAACTAGAGAGCATTATGGGGGTTTAGCTTGTAAAGGGACACCATGACAAAGACTTCTATGAGGCTAAATGACCTCCAAAGTGTCCCATCGCAATTCGCGCTCTTAATTTCTGAAATCTTCTTTGCAGTCGATGTAAAATAGAGATCATGTTACTAATTACTGTTGTTGGCCCCAATGTAAGCTCTTCTCCTGATCTATGACGTTGGCTCAGGACGGTTTAAATGCATCAAATGGTGACGACAAAGCTCCGATTGTCTTGCCAGGGTACTGAGTCCGCCTCAAGAAAGGCCCCTAAAAACATCTCACAACCTTACAGCCTTTTCATGAGCCTGAATCATAAGATAGAAACGACTGAGTTTGGTCTCCAGCAGCCAAACGTCCATCACCAGCTACTCAGAGCCATCGACAGTCAGGCTTCAAGCAGGAATCTTGTTGTCGTCTTTGACTCGGCACTGAAGTAAAACAAAGAACAACAGATTACCTCTATTACTGATGCATTTTGGAAACTGTTTCCCGTCGACTCAGGAAGTTGAAGCAGCGCTTTCGGGCTGCCGTCCACCGACAGGAAAACGAGCAGGACTTCATGAACCGAGCGGCGGATCCATCGCGCTTCGCAGCCGGTAGCAGGAGGAGCGTTTTACTGCTTTGGGGAAACGTGGATCCAATTAAACGGCAGCACATTCTGGAAGTAAACATCGCAGCGTCTGTACACGAGACGGAGATGAAGAGAGTTTTGGCTTCTAGAACGCAACGACGATCCTGAACACACGTCAGAATCCGCCGTGGACTTAAAACCAGAGCAGCGAGCCGGAGGTTTCGCCCTCAGAGACGTGGAGCGGGTGAAGTTTGGGTTCAGAGTCGCTCCAGGAAGTCTCGGTGAAAGATCGTGACGATGGTTGGAAGAAATCAAACCAAACCAAAGCCTCGTTTAACCAAACCG